AAAGCTCAGACTTTCCCCCTTCCAATATTCAAGTCTTCTCTGAGGTTCTCTATAAACCACTTCCAGGTGGCTTTGGTCTCAGAAGGTACAACTGCCCATGCTATTGGGAACATTTGGTTGTTTGCATCTCTTCCTACAGTTGTTAGAATTTCACCCTTCACCTCAGTTTTCATAAATGCCCCATTTATACCTATCAGTCTTCTACACCCTTCAAGGAATCCTTTTTTACATGCATGAAAGCACACATAAAATCTATCAATTACTGAGGTAGGCTGCCTTAGATTTAGAATGTGAGTATTACCCTGATTGGACCTACGTATTTCTTCCTTATAATCCTCCAAGTTCCTGTACTCTTCCTCTATATCTCCCTTTTGAAGCTTCCTAAGCATTGTCTTAGCCTTTCTCATTTGTTCAAGAGTTACATCACACTTCAATTCTTTCTTCACCATTTCCCTCATGGAAGCCGCATTCATATCAACCACTCCAGTCTTAGACTTGAAAAAATTCTTCACTAACCAAGAAGCAGTTGCACTAGTTATTTTCCAGCCCGGGTTGCATGTATGCTCACTATGATATGTCTTCGCAACCCACTTCTTACTACTGCTTCTATAGTTTATGCCAATGTACACCATCCAAGGGCAGCCTTTGTTTAAATTGGAACATTTGGCCCTGAGCATGTCAACACAATTCTTAGCCCAATAGTATGAATACCTCTTACTGATAGCATACTTGTCCATGGCATCTTTGGCTTCTTGTTTTGACTCAAAACTCATACCCAACCTGAACTCCACCTTGTCAGTTGGTTTGAAACTAGGAAATCTTGACTTTGTTCTCAAATTTCTCTCTTCTTCTGCATCTGACCCAGATTTGTAACTTCCCTCATCAGATGAAGTGAAATAATCAGTGTCATTTTCATCGCCATCCTCATTTGTCCCTTCTTCATTTACCTTTTCCTTTCCTCTACCAACCTCTTGTTTTGTGACAAGTTTTTTAGCACCAATCGCCCATGGATCAATTCCTCATCATCTTCATTTTCTGAATTGAAGTCCTCTTCGAAAAGCAGACCAGCTTCTGCCTCTACACCTGCATCTTCAAATCCAATATGCACCCCACTGCCAGAGCCTTTGTTGGTAGTTGGACTACACATACAGTAATAAATACCAAATTCAATAACAAATAAAAATCTTTTAATAAATTCAATAAACATTATATCTTCACTAACTAAATATGTCAAAAACGTAATACAATACTAACAGCTTGTACTCTTACATACAATGATATACATTACACATAGGCGAGCAACGTATTCATACCTTTGATTCATGTTTTCCATGACTAATGCTTCAATTCCTCCTTCCCCCTTCACCTCTCTAAGCTTAGGAATCCATGCTCAGCGCTGATTTTTTGGCGTAATGGTTAGGGTAACAACGCTCATTGTTAGGGTTTACAGTGTAATGGCGCTCAGTTAACGGATGAGGTGGCTTTTTTCCAACTCGGTATTCCGTTTGCCACATCACCAAAAATAACGCTGGTCTGTACCCTAAGTACTACTTGCACGCTAAAACGGCCAAATGGTGTACCATTTAAACTGATTTCCAAAATGGTGTACTCTTTACTCCAACGGGCACTACTTCATGTACTGAATCGACCCTTTTCTCGTAGCTAAATTATTTCCAAAACGAGCGAGCGTACGACCCTTTAACCACTACTAATCTCTTAGCGAACGATTAAGTGTGTGTGAAAGTGTCCTAGAATAAATTAGAGCAAAGTTGAAGGCGCACATTCGTGTGAACGATTGATGTCTTTTCTATCTTTCCTCTCTCTTTTCTTTTATCATTTATCTTCTTTATCCTTTTATATTATTATGTTATTTTTATCTTCTAGCTTTTTATACTCTTTTATCTTTTTATCTTTTATCTTTCTTATTTTCTTTTGTTTTGCTATCTTATACGGAGTATTTATTTATCTTTATTTTATCCATTTTATCTTACTTTTCCCCTTTCTTGTTTGTCTTCTCTGTTTGACATCGATATCATAGATCGATTCATGTTAGCCGACCCCGAATTCTTTTGGGATTAAGGCTCAGATGTTGTTGTTGTGGTTGAATTTAAGATTGATAATAAAATCAGTTTTGTTTGAAAAAAAAGATATGTAAGTGTAGTATATGTTTTTGTAGGTGTAGTATTATTTGTTGATACAAAATTATTTATTTGGTGCTAATGATTGATAGAGTATAACTCTAGAGAAAAGTGAGAGCTAAAGTGAGAAAGTTCTTACTAATAAATGTTTTTTAACCTCTTACTGTCTTACAACTATTCCAAGAGGAGTATTTATAGAGGAAATATGAGTTGGACTCCTAGGTCTTACGCCCGGGAGGCCCGATTACAATAATGGGTCGTTATTAGGCTGATTACACGAAGTTATTATGCTAAATATAAATTAGAGTTATATGTTGATGGTTCTAGCCGAGGTGGCCAGGCCGAGGGGGCTAGGTCGAGGAGACTTTGTCCTTGATAACCTCGGGTCCGTATATAGAATTCTTCACTTCTGGAGGGCTTTCTGTGTAGGCGGCCCTCGTCTGGATGAAGGGGGCATGCCGAGAGGTACTTCATCGCTGATTTGCGTATCCATGAGTATGTGGGTCGTGGGGTCCATATCCTTGTACTCTGTCGATGATGTTATAAACTAAATCATTCAAGTTACGTGTAAACATATGCGAATGTAGTGTATTTTTGTGTCACAAAACTCAATGAAATTATTCGGATTTAAAATATAAATCACATGAACTAAAAAACTAAACTTGTTTTAAGTTTATTAAACTTTAATAGTGAATTGATAAATAGTAACACTAGATAGATTCGTAATTTATGTTAACGAGGAAGAAGAGCAAAATTATTGCTACTCAATTCGTATTTTGAGGAAGATGGGGAGGATGATGAGGAAGAACCAAATGTCATCTCAAGTAGCTTTAGCCGCCTACTATTTCTCACACTAGCGCTCCATCGAGTGCTGCCTCATATGAAAATCGAATGCTAGGGTTTGAGATCGATGACTAGGGTTCAGATCGATCGTGGTGGTGTGAAGGTGCAGTTAAAGTTCAGTGGCTATTAGGGTTGTGGGTGGTTGAGGATGTTGGAGAGGGGACTAGGACTTGAGGGGGGGGGGGGGGGGTGCTAGACCACTGGAGAGGGGGCTTGGGAGGCTGGGGGCTTGGGAGGCTTGAGGTCTTGAGAGGGGGTTAGGGGGCTACAAAGGGGGCTGGGATTTGAATAGACAATACATAAATAAAGTGTATTTAACAAAATGAGGTAGATGGAGTATTTCTATAGAAAAGATTTTAACATAATATTTGTACATGTTACTCAATGGCCAGGTCCCAAATACATTGTGGACGCCCTGGGGGAGGGGGATGGGGGCATGGAATTTGAGCAGTAATTTGAAAAAGAAACGATTTTGGAAGCAGAGGCGACAGATAGAGATGGTGGTGAGTGGTGACGACGGAGAACCCCGGCAAAGAGCAGAGGCGAGCGACTTGATGGCAGCGGCGACAAAGAAGAGACCATAGATGGTGAGAACTAGAGAGAGTGAGCTGAGCCGCGAACAAGGGATCATTAAATAAGACTTTTATTATACTGTATAAGAGAGTATAATGGTAATTAGGAGTCCTATTTAGAGAATTATTAACAAATAGTCTTATTTGTAGGGTAAAAACATAATTCATTAATGGAAGTAATGATTAATACAAGGAGGAACCACATATTATGCCTAATTAGCTTTTTTCCATCTTAAACTCGTTTTAAACACGTACCGTTTTTTTGAGTAAAAAACACGTTTAAAACGAAAAATAATGTCGGTCCGTTTAAAAAGGGAAAAAACTTCTACTTCCCGTATAAAACGTATTTTTCCCGTATTTTACAAAAAACAGAAACATGTATTGATCAATTGAACGAATGCATTAAATGCATAGGAGATCAACAATAATTTAAAAGTAAAAATGAAAATGTCCTCCTCGTGATCTCGTATTTTTGTATTGTTACAATACAATTATTGATTACTAAAATTATTTGCATGACGACGATTAAAGCTAGCATCTTAAAGGACCAAAACTTAAAATACTTACTCCCTCTTTCTCTAATAGTTCTTTCATAGTACAAATGACACGCAGATTAAGAAGATGAGTATTGTATGGTGAAGAGTAGTGCATGAATTAGAGAAATGTTTAAGAATCAATTCAGAAGATTACACACATTCAAAGTACATTCGATTGGCTTTTAGTTCTATTTAATTCAAAGTAATTATTACTAAATTGTAAATGTACAACCTAAACATGCCCGCGACAAAAAAAAACAGCCTAATTCTATGCTATTCCTCTGGTTGAATGCTTGAACTCATTAGACTAGGCTGATATACAATCTAACCAATTAACTCATTTTAATTAAGGAGTACTACCTCCCTCCCGGAATAATCTCCTTATTTGACTGGACACGAGTTTTAAGATAGTGGGAAATGTGTGGTGGAAAGTTGTGCAGAGGAAAAAGAAATGTGTAAGAATGGTTGTGAACCACAAATTCTTTGCCAAAAAGGGAAAAAGGAGATAAATTTGGGACGGACCGAAAAGGAAAGAATGAAAATAATTCTGGGACGGAGGGAGTAGTAAAAAACTTGATGAAAGCAATCAGTCTGTTTTATGCTACGAAGTACTACCTCGGTTCCGGTGAGTTCTTCCTAAGTTGACTTGGCTCGCAAATTTAGATAGTGAGAATAAAGTGAAAGTGTATGGTTGTAGTAAAAGTGAATGAATGTGAATCACATATTTTTTTCCAAAAGTGGAAGTTGGAAGAATTAATTGAAACGGTACAAAAAGAAAAGTTGGAAGAAATGATCACGAAGGAGTGAGTATATTCTGATTCATTGCTTTCGTCATTTTTTTTTCGGATATAGGCATATAGCATAAAATAGTAGTACTAGGGGCAAGGTGGGGCCATCACGCCATTAAAGACTTTTCTCCCCTCTTTGTCTCCTGCCCCATTATTACTAGTTGCCTGCTAAGCTCAAAAGATTAGTCAATACGTCAAACAAAAGTGTTTTGTCTTTCTTTACTTTCCATCTGCTTCCGCCAAACCTCTTCATAGCATACAGGCCCCCTCCTCTCTTCTCTCTCTAATAAGAGATTGATCAGATTCTAATCAGGAGAGAGCTGCATTTTTTCTCTCCAGAAAACTTAAAAAGAGGTGTGTGCTTCTTTCTCAATTCAATTTTGATGTGTTTTTCTTTTCTTTAATTTCTACAGCGTGTTGCTCTTTTAGTATTCTTGGGTATCAAAGAAAAATAAAACCATTTTGGAAAAAAAGTTCCTTTTATATTTTTCTGTCTGTTTTACTGTATAGATCTTCTACTTTCATACTTCTTTGGAATGGTTTGCAGAGAAAAGATAGAGCTGGTGAAGAAGATAAACAGTAAAAGTTGGTCTGTTCTGATGGGGATTTGCTTGAGTTCCAGAATCAAAGCTGAAAGCCCCCCTAATTCAGGTGACTGCATTTAATCCATTCTCTTTTTTTAAGAGTTTCCTACTTCAGTTTTACAGCGCATTATTTTTCTATCTAACTAAAGCTCTTTTACCAATTTAAGGATATTCTATAGCATCTAATGTATATTTCATGTATGAGCTACAATTGAATTGGAAATCCTCTTCCCCTTTTCACTCTTTTTTCCCAGGATTGGAGATGGGTATGATGACACATTTGACTAAGAGATCTGCATTTGATACACAATATTTATTCATTAATTTATTCGTAATTATATTTGTTCCCATTATATCTTTGCTTTGTTAAGTACTCCCTCTATCACGAAATCAACTTCCTATTTGTTTTCTGATCCTTAAATTAATCTTCCTGTTACTCAAGGAAAGAAAGATATGTTTCTTATTATATCACTCATCTATACTTATATTTCAACATCATCTTTTCTTTTTCAACTACTTTATTAATAGCGTGTCAAACTAAACCAAGTTTATATTTTGGGACGGGGAAAGTATATAATTATACTTTATAGAAGGGTGGTTCAATGCATTGAACCTACTTTTATCAACATTCATGCTTCTTTTGGGTGCCTAACTTATTTTCTCATATGCCGTTCCACATAATTACATTTAGATCTGGCTGGAGTTTTTTCTTCTTTTACTTGTCTGAAAATGTCATTTATTTCATAAGGGCTGAGTTCGAAATATGGTAGCACTCAAGGGAGTAATTCGAGAAACTCAAGCAGCATGAATTCTGTACAACCCACTCCTAGGAGTGAGGGAGAGATCTTACAGTCACCCAATTTGAAGAGCTTTACTTTCTCTGAACTCAAAATGGCCACCAAGAATTTTCGTCCAGATAGTGTACTTGGAGAAGGTGGGTTTGGCTCGGTTTATAAAGGCTGGATTGATGAAGACACTTTAACAGCAACTAAGCCTGGTAGTGGCATAGTAATTGCCGTGAAAAGGTTAAACCAAGAAGGATTTCAGGGGCACAGGGAATGGCTGGTATGTCTTTTAAACATATTTTCACTTGATTGGCAATATATAAATCCAGTTGGGTTTGAATAAAAATAAGTCTTCCCATTAAAGATGTGAATGAATCTAAGCCTTTAATTATTTAAAAACAGAAGGGTTAGATCAATTTTCACTAAAAACACACTGATCCCAGGCCAGGCCGCGTTGCCCTCTGGACCCTCGACTCACTGATCGTGCAACGAGACCCTCGTACTTCCGCAAATAGTTTGTGATCAGATTCAAGACATATTAACAAACATAAAATGATAAAATAGCTCACACATGTGTTTAAAAATTCCATCACATTTTGTATACATTGATTCATATTTCCAATAATACACCTTGTTTTGGACTGAGTTTGATTTCGGACATCTATTATTCCACACCAGTGATAAAGATTACTTCTCTTTTTTCATTTAAGAAATAGTACCTCCGTCCCACTAATACTGTGAGACACCGAGGAATAATACTGTGAGACACCGAGGAATGAGAAAGTGACACAATTTTTAAGAAAAATGGAGGTCTATGGTTAGTGTTAAATTTGTAAAGTATAAATAAAGTAGGAATGAATTAAAAACACACAAATATTACCAAATATGGAATGACACACACTTGGTGGGACAGACAAAAATGTTAAATGGGACAAGACCAAATAATATACTCCCTCCGGTCCTTAATTAACTTTACACTTTCCTTTTCGGGCCGTCCCATACTAAACTTTACACTTCCTTATTTGCCTTATTTGGCAAACAAATCTACACCAAACAGTGCAAAACAGTGCTAAACAGTACCAAACGGTGTCAAACAGTGTCAAACAGTGTATTCTACAGTAAAGTCAAATTTATTTCCTTAATATGTAGTATGTGTGAAGTCAAAGTGTAAAGTTTAATAAGGACCAGAGGGAGTATACGTAGTGTGTGTGTGTATACAATTTAGTTTGAATAAAAAATATTTCTTAGATGAAAACGAAAACGTAATCTTGATCATCATTGTGAAAAAGTAGATGGATGAGATCAAATGTTAAGTTTAAAATATGGTGGCGTTTATGTAATTTTAAGGAACTTTTAATTAACATAAGCTACTGTAAGTGCAGCGATGTACACAAAATGTCAAAATGTGCATATGAACATTTTAAAGTGAATTGCACACAAAATGTGCAAAATGTGCGTTAGTACAAAAAATAAAACGTGTGTAATTTCAAGAAGGTGATAATTTTTTTAACACACACCAATGAGATTTTATATATACACGAAGCACTCTATATCATAAAATGTTGCACAATAAAGTTCAAATTATTTACAATTTTGCCACCACTTTTTTGTGAAAGTTTGATCTCATCCATTCGTTTTAAAGCAATGAAGAGTCTAGATTTATTCTCATTTTTCATGAGGACGTTTCTTTTCGTTGGAACCTAACCCTATATATATAAACGACCTACTAGCACATACATTTTTGCAGTGAAAAACAAATGCATATTTATTATTATAATTGTTATTGTTATTGGTATAATTTCTTCCCTTGATTGATACGGTAAATGAAATGTAATGAGTTGTGTGAAATGCCATACTTTGTTGTACTACAGGCTGAAGTGAACTATTTGGGACAGTTTTCTCATCCACATCTTGTGAAGTTGTATGGATATTGTTTGGAAGATGAGCATCGCCTCTTAGTGTATGAGTTTATGCCTCGTGGTAGTTTGGAGAACCATTTGTTCAGGAGTGAGTTGTCATTTCCTGTGAACATAACTTTTTCTCTGTTTAGGGTCATTTTGGATTGAGGGTGTTGGAAGGCCAAGTCTGTATATCTATGGTGTCTTTATTTAAGTTTCTGCTTCAAAGAATTTGAAAGAATAACATAGTACGTTATCATATAACATTTCAATCATCCCTTTTTATTTTTTAGAAACATCCTGTTTATCAAGTATCGAGATATTGATCATGTCCTCCACAGCTTTCCCCTCCAAGAAAAACTCTCTATCCAATCAGACCTTTAGATGTCGTATATATATATTGCCTTGTTTAACACAGAAACTTTTGTTTGTTTAAATAAATATCAGGGGGTTCATATTTCCAACCACTCTCTTGGTATCTGCGTTTGAAAGTTGCTCTTGGAGCTGCCAAAGGGCTTGCTTTTCTACACTCTGCTGAATCTCAAGTTATATATCGTGATTTTAAGGCATCCAACATTCTGCTAGATTCAGTATGAGTTCTTTCGTCCAGTTCCCATAAAATTCCATTCATTTATAGTCAACACATGCCCAACTTTTTTGTATCTTAAACTGTAGAGTTACAATGCCAAGCTCTCTGACTTTGGTTTGGCCAAAGATGGACCAACGGGTGATAAAAGCCATGTCTCTACAAGGGTCATGGGAACCTATGGATATGCTGCTCCAGAGTACTTAGCCACGGGTATAGCTTATTCATTTATTATGTTATATTAATACATTTCTTCTAAATAGGCCCACATATTCATACCTATGCTTCGTCTGACCTCACATAGGCCTAGTGTAGGTGCGCCTATGCATGGATACTTCGATGAGGTGGCATATCTATGTATCCGATATTCTTGGATATCCGTACTATAAGTTTTAGGGCATACAAGAATTTTCTTGAACCTTTCCGGAAGTATTTGTTACGTAATAAACGGGAATTCACATACCCATGCTACATAGCTAGGTGGTGCTATATGTGCCCCAATTTTCCACCCGCTATAGGCGAAATATGATGTGTTTACCTTTATGGAATAATTGGTGCAGGTCACTTGTCTTCCAAGAGTGACATCTATAGTTTCGGAGTAGTCCTGCTTGAACTGTTGTCGGGCCGTAGAGCAATTGACAAGAACAGACCATCTGGAGAACACAACTTGGTTGAATGGTCCAAACCATACTTGGGCAACAAACGCAGATTGTTCCGAATCATGGACAACCGCCTAGAAGGCCAGTATAAAGTGGAGGTTGCACAAAGATTAGCCAATCTTGCATCAAGGTGTCTTTCAACTGAACCAAGGTATAGACCATCCATGGATGAGGTGGTCAAAGAAATTGAACAACTTAAGGTGGAGTCAAAGGATAAAGGGGGAAACTCACGTGCCAATGCGAGCAAAGCCTCTGGGCCCCGTAGAGGGAAGGGTACTAATGCTTCGGTTGCCTATCCAAGACCGTCGGCTTCTCCTCTCTATGCCAAATAGCTTGGGACATCTCCAAGTGATCTTGACCGTTCATGTAGCAACTCCACACGGTTCACTTTTGACAGTATGTGATCATCAGCTTAACTGTACAGATATTTTTGTTGAGTATATATAGATGTCATCCATCTCCCAACGTATGGGCAGGATGGGTTGCCCACGTGCATATCTGGGGGTGTAATGCAGGGCTCTAGGGTACCCAACTCTTGTTCATATTTCCTATATGTTTGCTTTATTTATTACTGCTTCCTATTATAACGACTAATAGCTCGTGTAACTGTGTAAGTGCATTGTTAAAACAGTGCAGTTTTTTACGGCTCGTTTGGTTGACGAGAGTAATTATTCTAATCTTGCTTAGTCCGCAAGTAAAGATTCCTTTTTTGCTTAGCCCGCAAGAAATGGACAGTTTTATCATCTATGAGTTGATATTTTCATGCAAAACATAAAGATCCATCTCATTTGTGTTACTATCTAGTTTCGATCAATGATAGTTTTTTGTATTTATAAATTGTTTTTTCTTCCGGATAAAGTTTACGAATGAACTTTTTTTCTGAATAATAAATACCAAGTACGGAGTATATTATAGTTAGGTTGCCTCAGGTTGAGCTAATATTAGTACTCCTATAATATTTAAGGAATAACATCGAAATTTAATATCTGTACTAATACTTCTATTAATAAGAAATACTAGTACTCATTAATCATTATGCTTTGTCCTAAAAGTCTACAACATATAAGGATTATAAGGTTTGACATTTTACTTTGGGGGTGTTTGGATTTGATTCTTAAAACTGCTTCTGCTCCTTCAGGGAGCAGAAGTTGGAGTGTTTGGGTGAAAGTGCAGAAGTGATTCTGGTGCTTTAATTTACTCCTAGAATCGGTTTTTTTAGAAGCTGGGGGTGACCAGCTTCTGAAAACCGATTCTGATTCTGCTTCTGCTTTAAAAAAGAAGCAGAAGCAGAATCAGTTCCAAACACCCCTTTGTTACTTTGTATTTGATCTTAACGGAATTTCTTTTGGTTGTCTTTCTTTGTATGTTAACATTTTTGTAATCATATTTGACTTAATTTTTGCCAAAATAATTTGTTAACGTAGGCACATAAACTTTAAATATTCATATTAATTTGAATATTATTAAAGGACAGTCATTAGTCAAACGCTCAAACTTGGTTCGTAAACTATTTTGGGAATTGATATGGACATGAGGACATCACATATTCACATGCATAATAATCTTTAAACTTATATTTTAGAAATACATATAACATCCATGTTTGAAATGAATATGAAGTATTAAACCCCTTTGACCCTTACCCCCTAGTCAAGTTTCTTTACCAAGTATGGCATATTTGATACAATAGTTGACAATATTTCTGTCACAAATCACAATGTCCACAAAGGCCCCAATCTAGGGCATGAGAATTGCCACCAGCAAGGCAGCAACCTCCCAATCTTCAGAATAAAGTTATCATCAGAAACTGTACAATCTAACTCTGGTCAGCAACAAGGGCAATTCATCTCCTCTAAAAAAGGGAAGTTGAAAATGACAATGAAAAAGAATAAGAAAGAGATGAATATCACCGGGCTCTAGGCAAACGAGGCGTCCAATTCCTCCAATCCAGCTGCTTCCCAATTGATATGGTCCTTAAATTGAGCATTTCCTTGAAATCAAAACTCTTCTTTTGGTCAATGTTTTCCCGGGCCTCATCGCGTCCGCCTTCTTCAAACCCCTCCTCTTCCTTCCCCCCTCCTTTCACACTTGTTTTGGTCACAACTTCATCTCCAATGATGCAAGTGAGTCGATCAACCACCTCGCTCATTTTAGGGCGACACTTGGGTTGCTTCATGAGGCATTTGTTGGCCAGTGAGGAAAGTCTGTGTGCTGACTTGGCACAATCCTGTCTCTCCAATCTCGGATCAAGAATGATGTGGAATTTCTTGGGGTCCGAGACGTAGGGCCTCACCCATTCCAAGAGTTTCTGCTCACCCCGAGGCAGATTCCGCTCCAGTACTCGTCTCCCCGTGATAAGTTCATACAGAACCACCCCGAAGCTCCAAACGTCGCTTTTAGCTGTCAACCTGCCACTCTGAACATACTCGGGTGCCGCATAACCAAGAGTTCCCATAACCTGTAGTACACAATCTATAAATTTATCAAAATATGTACTTAAGAACATTAGTCAAAACTCCAAAACCTGTACACATAAAAGGTAGGACAGAAAGAGTATATTCGGATTGACCCAGGGACCAATGGTAGTACTTACATATTCGGATTCTTATATGTAGTATTACATTACTACCCAAACAAGTTACGAGTGTGTGTTTTTTTTCCAAATATGATTACTACGAAATCATTAAAAAATGATTACTACAAATTGGATGGAAACATATGTCATTCTGTCCCATTAGGGTTTGATTAAATGGCAAACTCGCAATTATCCACCCAGTTATCATCCCTACATATCAGGAGTCGCATGTTAGAACTTTATAAGACTATATGATATACCCAGTATGAGGTAAATATTTCTTCCTAGGAATCATGTTAGAATGAATGATATAGGCCCAATCAATATGATCTGAAAGTCTAGTCTGATTGAAATTTGTTGTTTGTTTGGTAAATGTCAACTTGGATAAGGTAAATCGTTTTTGCAATTGATTTAATATTACCCATGTTATAAACAAAAAGGTCTAACAAGAAATTGAAGGATGACAAGATGGGAAAGATGGGTAGAAAAAGGAAATTACTGCTGTAGATATATGATCAATTCCATGAGCTGGTCCCAGTCTAGCCAACCCAAAGTCCGAGAGTTTTGCATTGAAATCTTCATCTAGAAGAATGTTGGATGATTTGAAATCTCGGAATATTAACTATAATAACAAAAAAAAACAATATAAGTTGAGGAATCGGGTAAATGGGAGGGAGTTGCTTCCTTTTAGTGAAAAACAACACTGAACATTTTAGTAAAATACATGTAATACGGATCATCAGAAAGTTTCAGCCAAGCGAAAAAACATTCATATGGTAGAGGATGTATGTATGCGGTTCATTTGCTTGAAAAAAAGTTTCTATGGGAGGGTTTTTGATCACCTGAAAGTCCATTTCTTCATGAAGATATGCCAATCCACGAGCAGCGTCTTGAGCAATTCTCAATCGCAAATTCCAGGAGAGGACATTGGGTGATCTAGAAAACAGATGGTCCTCAAGGCTTTTATTATGCATCAGCTCGTACACTAAAAGCCGTTGGATACCTCTCTCGTCATCCTCTGCACAATATCCAATTAACTTCACAAGATTTGGGTGCTTAACTATGCCCAAAAAGTTGACTTCATTTATCCACTCCTTATGCCCCTGAATATACAACACATAGTTACCAAGCTGAAAAAATTATCAAAGTGATGGTTACCGTAGCAGTGTTATGAGTGTTGTGCTTATTTGGCAATGTTAGTCTTTTATTACTCCCTCCGTTCTTTTTTAGTTGAAACAGTAAACATTTCACATTGGACAACGCACGTAAAAATCAGATTTTGAAAAATTTGTAACGAGATGAATTGAACAATATTTTTATAAAAAAATAAGGGAAAACTGTCAAATAAGTCCACGTATTTTTCACAAAACTAACCAAATTAGCCTTTTTGCGGGTAACCAATCGGTTACCCGGTTCACTGCCTAGGTGTCCTTGTAGTTGGCATCTTTTTACTATTTTCCATTTGTTTATACTCGTACTTCGTATTAATTTTTGTTTTCTTTTCCTTTTCTTTTGTTTTTTCTCTTTCCTTTCTCTGTGTCTACCGTCAATTCCCATTCTTCTCCCAATGCCTCCTTCTCCTTCAATGTTCTCCCTAAAAGATCTACCAGTCTACAGAAGCTTGGCCGGCAGAGGTAGTGACTGAGGCCGTGTAAGAGACCGTGGCGCCGGTAACTATGGAGGCAGGGGCGGCGGAGAGGGAGGTCGGGGCAATTGGAGGTCGATCCAATGGATGTGGCGGCGAAGATCGATGGAGGTTGGGGCGGAGGAGGTGGGCGAAGGTATTTGTGTGGAGGTTGGGGCGGAGGAGGTGGAGGCCGCACGCGGAGGTGGAGGCCGCACGCGGAGGTGGGTGGCTATGGATGTCGGGACGGTTGGCCCTAATGGATGAGGCGGAGGCCGCAGATGTGGTGGCCGATGGCGGTGTGTAGGGATGTAGGGCGGCGGAGGTGGAGGCCGCACATGGAGATGTTGGTTATGGAGGCCGGGGCACCGCTCCAATGGAGGAGGCAAAATTGGTGGCCGGAGGTTGTTCTAATGGGAGGAGGGGTGCCTGCAAAAATGGAGGGATTGGAAGAGGGAAAAGAAAAAAAAGGAAAAAAAAGAAAAAAAAAATAGAAAACAGTAAAAAAAATGACAACTAGGAGAAAACATACTCCCTCCGTCCCTTATAACTTTGCAACTTTCCTTTTTTGGATGTCTCACTAACTTTGACACTTTCCTTTTTAGGTAAAGAATTTGTGGTTCCAATTCATTCTATCTCCTCTACACAAACCTCAACCAAACACTTTTTACTTTATTATTCCTCGTGCCGGTCAAACTGGCAAAGTTATTAGGGACGGAGGGAGTAGGCGTTAACAGGTAACCGGGTTATTACCTATTAAAAAGCTTATTCAAAAATTCCTTTTGTACACTTTTTTTATACACATCAATACACACTTGTATCTGTGAGAGTTTTTTTTTGTCTGTGAATCTCAGTCCACAGACAAAAAGTGGCTTGTTTTGTCTGTAGAATTTTTCACAGACAAAGCAAACCAGTTTTTGTCTGTGGACTGAGATTCACAGACAAAAAAAGTCTCACAGACACGGGGTGTACTGATGTGTATAAGAAGGTGTACACCAAGAATTGTTGAAGCTTATGTGATTGTTTTTTGATACTTGACGGACTTAATTGACTCACAAAAAAGTACATGGACTCAATTGACTTTTGATGAAAAGTAAGTGGACTTATTTGACAGTTTCCTCAAAAAATAATTTTCATAAAATAATAGTGTAAAATGTAGTTAAAGTAGAGCATGTGAATAATGTAAAATTCAACATGTTGCGATTAAAACAGAACGAAGGACAGTATTTCACAAACTCATTAATAATAACATTAAAAACCAATGCCAAGGTAAACTTTATAACAAAAATTCCCTCTACCCAATATTCAGTGATGCCATACTGCAATTTTTATAGTGAGACTTCTATGATGACAGCCTGACAAGTGCTCATCTTTATGATCGTAGCACTCAAGATATTGAAAAAGTTAAGTGTGTGAAGAATGTCGATGGAAGTGTACTAATGGAGGACGGGGAAATAAAAGAGGGATGTAGGTCATACTTTGATACTTTGTTCAACACGAATAAAGCGCAAGATATTAGCGATATGACTATATCAGATTGTATGGTGAACCGGGATTTCGTAAGGAGGATCCAAATGACAGAAGTTAAACATGTTGTGAGAAAGAAAAACATCGAGTGGTTGACACATTTCTTCAATAAGATTTGGCGGAAGCGTGCTTTTATTCTTCTATTTAAGAATAAGGGCGATGTACAAGAGTGTGTCAACTATCGAGAAATTAAGCTTATAAGTCACACCATGAAACTTTGGAAGCGAGTGATTGAGCAAAAGCTACGAAAAAATGTGAAGATTTAAGAGAATTGATTAGGTTTTACGCCTGATCGCTCAACAACTAAGGTTATTCACCTTCTTAAACAACTTGTGGAGAAGAACAAAAACACTAATAGGATCTACATTTGATGTTCATTGACTTGGAAAAAGCATATGATACGGTACTCCGATAAGTCCTTTGGTAGGCCTTGACTAGAAAAAGCATATCACATAAGTATATCAATATCATCATGAATATGTATGCGGATTGTACTACAAGTGTTCGTACTAGTGTATGGAGGACTAAAGAGTTCCCTATTACTATCGTAGTGCACCAAAGACCGACTCTGAGACTTTTCTTATTTTTTTTAGTCATATATAAACTTATGAAATCAATTCAAGACGATATACCATGGTGTATGATGTTTGCGGAGTATATCGTGTTGATTTATGAGACACAATCGGGTGTTAAAGCAAAGTTAGAAGTATAGCGACATTGGAGAACAAGGATTTCAAATTGAGTCGAAGCAAGACTAAGTATATATATAAAGTGCAAGTTTGGTGGAGGCAGAAGCAGTGATAATAGTGGGATTACCCTAGATGGTAAGAAGATACCAGTTAGTGATGTGTTCCATTACTTGGGATTCATAGTTTAGAAGAACGGTGAACTAGATGAAGATGTATTGTAATGCCCCAAAAAATTGAGGAATTTTGAGAAATATTTAATTTTGTGTTTCATATCGTTTAGACGGTCTTTAGATAGTTTATAATGTTTAGTGTGGTGTTCGGGACCAAGGGGAGATCCAAACACGGAAGAAACGGAGCAAAAACTAAGGTTTGGTGCATCTGGGGGTCACACGGCATGCGTGGGGCTACGCACACCGTGTGTGGCAAAAAAGTCAAGTGGAACAATTACTGCCAGCCACGCATGGCGTGCACGGAAGGCACGCACGGCGTGCGTCTCTATATTAGCCTAATGCAGTCCAAACTTCGGAAATTCACTATAAATACATCCATAATCCGATTTTTCTCATTCCAAAAATCCTAGGACCGCCTCTCCAAGATCTATCTCTTCCAGCTCTTCAATCTTTATCGTATCAATCTTCGATTTCTTTGGATTCTCTCTCCTAAATTGTAATCCTTTGACCCTATAACTTCCTGGGGACGTGTGAGTGACATCTCAATCTAGGGTTTGACGTTTAGAATTCATTGCTAGCCTCGAGGTAAAGACTATTGCAACCAAAAATTACTATTTTGCCCCTATTACGTATTAATTAGGATTTGTACTATCCTTTTGAGTTTCTTTCTGAAATTTTATGGATGTTTCAGCTATATTACTATGGATATGATGTTGCATAATTTTCTGGGAATTTTTGAATGTATGATTTATGGTGAATTTATCAAATCAGTTTGCTATGGCCTAAATTGTGATTTTTGAGAAATAGTTATTTAGATTGGAAAATTGTGGAGACTGCTTTGGTATGAATCGAATAATACTATGAACATATTTTGTACTCTATTTTGAGAATATATTCTGGGTTTGGAATACCGTAATTGGTGGTGGTGATAAATCCTATTTTTGGAAAGTGTTGTATCAAATCTTTTGCCAAAGTTGTTATCAATGATTTCTGAATACTTTGAGCACCCGAGGGGTAATACGTGGTGTTCGGCTCTACATACGGTTAAATGTAGAACTGTGGTCTAGGGTAGAGCTATTATAATTTGGTGGATGGTTTTCTTTTGGTTTGGTTTTGGATATTTTGAGCACCCAGTAGTAACTCGTGGTGTCGATTTCTACATCCGGATAAATGTAGGATTTTGGTTTTGAGAACCCGGTAGTAATCCGTGGTGTCGGTTTCTACATTCGGATAATCGTAGGATTTTGGTTTGCTTCGGCTTGTGTGGTTGTAGTAGCCCCTATTCCAGTTTTATAGGATTCGTCCTTTCTTGGGTAGTCGGTAAAAACTTATCCCGGCTATCTGGGCTTCTTGCTACCCGGAGGGCTTGGAGTCTCTTTTGGTGGCTGGTGGGAGCCGCAATTGCGGGATGTGTCGTACACAACAACGGCTCATTGGGCTCGATCGAGGAATCTTGAGTTTCGCTCATCTTAAAAGAATTTACTCAATCTAGGAAGAATTAGTTCAAAAGAATTTTGATGGATTATTATTGAATATACTTTATGGTGGATCGGTAATCACGCCGACAATTTTTATGGTGGATCAGTAATCACCCCGGTAACTTTGAGGCTTAATCATATATTTTGGGAAGTGGTATTTTTAGAAGGTTACAATTTGGAATGTTATATATATTCTTGAAAAACTATTCTAAATAGTGATATTTTTAAAAACTTGTATTTTTGGAAAGTTGTATATTTGGAAAGTTATATTTTTGGTGTGATATACGGAGTATTCTTTTTTTTTTGACAGAAGTGTGATATATTCATGGAAATCTTTTTTTGGAAAGTTACACTTTTTGGAAGGTGCTATTTTGGAATGTGATATTTTGTGAAATACTTTGGAATGTGGTATTGTGATAGTGTGAAGATGTGATTGCTTGTAATAATTACTTAAACCTTCTAAATGCTATTATAGCTACAAATGTTATTTTTGGATAGTTATATTTTGCTCGGAAAAAGGTGCAAATAGGCACATGTACTAATAAAAAAAGGTCAAATAAACCCTTATTTAGGAGGCTCTGTACGGTCATCGCCATTTGGGGTGGTTCCTAGTGGAATTTTTTGATGACATTTTTTGAGCATCTTATTCATCAAGTCTAGTTTACTCATACTAAATTTCAGCTAAAAATTCATTGGGCAGGGCATTCAAATGAATTCTTGAAAATAACTGCGCAATTAGAATCGCATTTATCTTCAAGAATTCATTTGAATGTCTTCCCGATTGAAGTTTTAGCTAAAATTTGGTATGAGTAAACTAGACTTGATGAATAAGATGCTCAAAACATTTCATCAAAAAATTGCACCAGGAACCACCCCAAATGACGACGGCCGGACAGAGTCTCCTAAATAAGGGCTTATTTGACCTTTTTTGGTTAGTACATGAGCCTATTTGCACTTTTTTTCCTATTTTGCTCTTATATGGAGAAGTGGGTTATTTAAAATTCAAAATTATCTTTAACTATAAAGGTATTATTGAGTGATGCAAATTATTGTGGAGTCATAAATGTTTTAGAAGTAAATATTTTACTACTATCTAGAATTGGATTATTTTGGAATAAGAATAAAAAGAGTTTTTGATGAACTACTTTTGGATAAAGATTTGGAATAAATATTTTATTTATATGTTGAGATGTGGAAATATTTTAAGTATTAGAAATATCGTTTTAATTATAAGTTTGTATTTGAATGATGGTTATATTATGGAATTATAAATATTATTTAAATGTTAAATGTTCTGTTTTCTAACATTTAACATTTAAATATTATTTAAATGTTAGGACTTTATGAATATGGTTGCTTGGTTGTATTGTCTTACGGTTACACAACAAGAGTTTGAATCAATATAATATGTGAGTTTTAGTTTCAAAAAAAGTAATGATAGGTTAATTGAATTATAATGAAAATTTAGGGTATGTTTGGCACAACTAGCTGAAAAGATATTTTTATGAGCTTTTTCATAACTGTTAGCTTTTAGTGATTGAAAAGATCTTAAAAAGAAAAGACAGTACATGTTTGATAAAAAGCCGACTGTTTGATTTTGTTCTGTTTGGTATACAAGTTGTTACGACTAATTAATACTAGAACTACTTACTTATCTGAAATGCTACTCACTGTAGCATCTCAAAAAAGATCTTTTATTTTTATAAAAGCTCTTAAAAATTGGCGTACCAAACATACAACTAGAAGTTTTTAAAGACTTTTTAAATAGTACAAAAGCTAGAAGACAGAGACTTATGTTTGACAAACATAGTCTTAGGCTATGTTTGGCACAACGAGCTGCAGGTGAGGGTTAATGTCTGAATTAAAGACTATTGTCTGAATCAAATATTATTGTCTGAAGCTGAATTTTGATATGATGAATCTGAATTGCTAGCGAATGGAGTAGACCCGTTTGGCATAAAGAGCTGAATAATTATCCGGATAATATGAAATTACATTAAAGGGCATATGATTTATTAATTGAATAAAATATTTAATATAATGATTTTTATATTTGAATTAATACTCATGGCCATTGTTTCTCCCAAACGTTTAGACCTCCCATTTAGGGAATTGATTGAATTAGCAGTAGCTCTTGAAGAAGATGAACAAAACATTAGATTCAATCGATTGAATTAGCAGCTCCCTTTTCCTAAAACTTCTCTTAGTTTCTTAAGGTTCGAATTTCGATGGGTCACTATACAACAGCCGCTGCACAGAAGATGACGATTGGCTTCTTCTTTTTGGTAAGTACTACCTCCGTCCCTTAAAACTTTGCCAAAGTTGACCGGCACGGAGAACAATAAAGTAAAAATTGTATGATTGAGATTTGTGCATGGGAGAGAGAAATGACATAAACCACAAAATAATTGATTAAAAGGGAAAGTGACAAAAATTTTTGGGACGTCCCAAAAAGGAAAGATGACAAAGTTTTAAGAGTCCGAGGAAGTATTTTTTAAGAAGATGACAACTTGCTCGACGGAATCCAATCCGCTATATCCGTATAAGGTCGACTGCTTCTGTCATATTCTTTTCCCCTAATTTTCTACTTCGTATATAGCAAATAGAGAAACCAGAGAGAAGCGACCGATTGTGGAAGAGGTCTTATGCAAATATGCCGTGAACGAAGGATACATTCGGAATGGAAAGCCTGGAAAGTAGCGGCTGAATGTAAACGTTTCTTTCTCTAACGTTTCATTTCAGCCTAATAATTCCACTTCAAACCCATTTCGGCCCTTCAACAAACAAGTCTACACTAATTAGAATGTACTGAATTTTAAATATTTCAGCCAATTATTAGCTGAAATGGTCTAACAAACATAGCCTTAGACTTGCGAGAGCCCCAAATAAATAAATAGTGTAAAAGAACAAGCTCAAACCACAAGCAGAGAGGAACCTTCCTTTTATAGTCCATTGCGGTGGCCAATGATAATCACACAAGTTACTATAAATTAGTCAGAGATAATATTATTTAGAAAGATAATACTGAGTTTGTGCTATGTGACATGGAAAGTCAAGGAAATTAGTTGCCCAAGTCATGGAAGAACCGAACATATGATTGGTGTGCATATTTTTCATTTTCCAAAACCATCAAAGAGTGCACAAAACTAAATACTCAATACAAGGTATGGTCTCACAAGTCAAACTTTCATTGTTTTTTTCAAATCCTGTAATTTCTTTTTTCTATTTGTCAACAAATATCATTGAATCCAATTTGTACAATCCAAAAGAATAAATAATGAATACATAAAAATAAAAAAAATGTTCTAAATAGGTGTAAAACAATGATAGAATGCACAAATAAAAGTGATTATGTTTTATTCGCAAAATAAGATTCCTTTTGTTCAATTAAAAGTATAGAAATGCTCAATTAGGAGTGCATGAGTCAAATTTATTATGAAGAAAATAATGATAAAAGAGGTTAAAGTACAAATTTACCCCTTGTTTAGTCATTTTATTTAATTAACTAAAGTCCATTAAATTGTTGCTTAGACTTTAGAGAGTTTAAGAACGTGGCAAGTGGAACCATATTAATTGTAGAGTAGATTTGAAAAAAACAAAAGGGTCAATAAATAACACCATGTCAGTTCACTTTAATTTATTCCACCATTCTTTTATGAAGGTTTATTATTCTTATTACTTGGTCCACTTCTTATAATTTGTAATAACTACCACCATACCCAAAAAACATTATTCTATTTATACTTTCACTTTTTTCATCTCCCATGGTCACACTCTTCTATTAAATGTGAATGGGAGTAAAAGGGTCACTTATTTCATGAAAAAGCTGAATAATGCCAAGAGTATATATTTCATTAATCAAATGCTTGCTTGCTATTTACACACTATTGACAGCTTAAAATTTACTGTAATTTAAAAAATGAAAAAATTGAAAATAATAATCTCAACTATTGCCTGTCCGCTAACAATAATTCCGACTATTGATTATTTTTGTATAATCCCAACTATATGGATCGTCCGCCAATAATGGTCCATGACCGCATATTACCTGCTCTAACAAGTGAATTTTTAATAGAAATTAAACGTAAAATTTAAATTTTGGGATTATTTATATGGATTACTTGTTATATCTATCTTTAGAAACTATTGAAATTTATTTATAGTCGATCACGTCGGACCATTATTGATGGAAGGTCCCTAAAGTTTGATTTATTCTGAAATAATCGATAGTTGGAAATATTATGAGCGAAATTATTACAATCGATTTTTCCTTAAAAAGTCCTTTATTGTCCACCAAATTTGAGCGAAGTATGCATATGATAAGAATACTACTTCGTAAAAAACATTTTCAAGGGAATATTTAAGGAAAATTCTTAGTTTTCATGACTTTACACAACATACCTTGTCTGTCCATACAAACAATTCATTTAAAAATGGACAAAATTTGATGTCAAAATCCCCAAATAGCATGTAAATGTACACCCCAATACTTTACTTAAATGATCGATCGAAGTGATAAAGTAAAAAAATGAAATACCTGGAAACCACTTCGATTCAACTGTTTAATAGCTACCTCCATCCTCGAACTAGAACCCGAACCCGGAAAGCTAACAACGCCCCTATAAACAGACCCGAACCCGCCTTCTCCGATCATCCGGGCGCGGCTGAACCCTTTGGAGGAAGATTTCATCTCGGCGAAGGTGAATACTCGTAGATCGTTTCCCCTGCGCTGGTAGAAGCTGAGCGGGTCATTCAAGTCCCTCGACTCGGAGTCGAACTCGGAGCGCCGAGTTGAGTCGACGCTGCTGGAAGCCACGCTCAGAGACCGGGCCCATGACACCTTGGAAGACTTGGAACCGGAAACTGCGACGCCTTCTTCTTCCTCCCTCCTCTCCCCATTCGAGAAGTAGAAGCATTTCATTCTCTCGAGCGTCACGCCAGATACGCGATATATGTATGCTCTGTTTATAGCTAGCTCTATACTTTATCTACATAATTAGTGAATTTTGACTATGTAGCAGAAGAAATGGTGGAGGCGAAGGGGGCAGGTTATGAACATATTTGTATTGCAGCAGATTGAAGAAAAAATGGCGGAGAGTGGAGCGCTTGAGTTAGTTAGTGAGCATTCCGTTTTCTTGTGCTCTTCGGGTGTAAGATTAGGAGGGTGAAGAGGACTAGAATGACTTTCCACCCGGTCTGGGTTGCTATTTTTGACTTCACGTCGGATTGAATTGTGAAATTACATATTCCCCTCCATGCTCATGTTTTTCTTTTCTTTAAATGATATTTGTCCAAAACACAAACACACCCCAAAAAAAAGACTAATAAGGATCTTTTCTTTTTATAAAACTTTCATAGTTATAAAATACATAGAGACCAGACATTTAACACACCGGTTCAGACCAGATAAGACCAGCAAATTTTAGTCCAAAAGAAAATATCCTAAGCTAGTTGTATCGGATCAGCTTAATAAATTGTGATGTTTATCTTCCTTTTATAATATTACCTTTGTTCTTAAATAATTGAATCATTGGAAATTTTATACTATTCATATACTCTACTTTGACTGCATTTCATTTACAAATGCATTGAATTTTAATTTCTTGAAAGTATAATTAAATTCTTCTTACGTTAAATTTTCCAAATGTGATTTTTTTTTTAATTTTTACAATTAGGGAATAATATATATTAATGGTCAAAGTTGTGCATTGGCAAACGTGAAATTGGAAGTGTTGCAATTAAAAAGGAACGGAGGAAGTACCATTTTATAATGCCACGCCAGAAATGTTGAAATTGCAATGGAGGTACCAATAAACCCTAGCACCGATGATGGCGCTTAGCAGTAGCCGACGTACATAGCATGAGAGTTTCAGGTTCATTCTTGGATTTCTTTCAAAAGTTTTGGTCTCCCTCATCTGTGGGGAAGAATTTTTTTCCCTGTCAGCACCATCTTGGTTGGGAGGTTTGTTCTTTCTTCTTTGAGATATGTTGCGTTAGTTGGAATTGCCGAGGCTTGGGCAATTTCACCACAACGCAGGTGTTACAGTACATTTCTTCGACATACCATCTGTCGATCATCTTCTTGATGGAGACTTTTTGTGGCAACGACCGTGTTGGGATATTGATCCAGAGGCCCAATACCCGGATCAAGAAGGCCCAAGATACCCGGCCCAAGCAAAGGGCCCATCACCCTATGATGAGATAATCAAGGTAGAATTCATGCCGAACGAGATTCGGCCCAAATAAGGGTTGGCCCAGTAATAAGACATACCGAACGGAGTTCGGACTATATATTATACTTGGGCCAATTTGACAGCATCTTCAGCATAGCCCAACATCCCGTTCGAGCAACGGCCAACCGGCAAGTGGCCAGGTGCAATTAATGCCAGATTGTGACATCAGCAAGTGGAAACATGGGTGACCAAGTCGGTGGAACAACGGCCAATCAGCATAGGGCAACCCATGCTCTCCATTAGTATAAATAGAAGGTTTTAAGTCATTGTAAGGGTTAGCATTTCAATACTCAGGCTCTAGAATAGCATCATTGCTCTTATTTCTTGTATTAAAGTATTGTTTCCGACCTACCGATCGGGAAATTCCTTGTAATCAGACTGGTTAGTTAATACAAGTGAGCTTTCGAGTATTAGTGAGTTCATATTTTATATTTTGTTTATACACTTTGATTCTGTGTCATTCCTGATATATCCAAAGTTCGTGTTGGGCTTTCGGATCTACGGGATTTACACTCAACATTGACGCCGTCTGTGGGAAACTTACAAAAAGTTTCACATTCAAATCATCCAAAAAACCACTATTTTCAAAAATGGTCAGAATCAGCTCCTATCATACAAACGACGGTTCACGCCGTCACGAGAGGAGTCACACCCCGGGGAGTCAAAACCCTCACGGACAATCCAGTCGAGGATTGTATCCTCGTTTTGATGGGGATTTTGTGATTCCCGAATCTCTGAGAAGAAATCCTCAGGCCATGCGAGACATGGCTCAGGTCATGCAGCATATGGCGAACGAGGAGGAAGGAGGGTCCAACTTTACAGGGGAGACTCCACGCACGAAAACAACTACAGCATCATCCCGTTCGCATGCCCATCGGGATAATCGACGTAGCGCCCCACCAACAGCGCACCATTGTCCCAGTGACCGAACCCCGATCGGGTCACAAGCTAGAGGACCAACTCCCATTGGTCATCATTTCCAGAATGCCGAGCGGGAGAATACCAGGGCCCCTCAACGGCATTGGGACCGGGACTATACGGATATGAGGGCTCCACCACAGCCCCCTTTGACGGCCCAGGAGGAAGAAATGGCCGATATGAGGAGGCAGATGAATGAGATGCGGGACCAAATGAACAGGGCACATGTACAACCTGCCCCAGTTCAGCTAGGAATTACTTCCCCTTTTACTAGGGAACTCATGTACGCAGACATCCAAGGGGGTGCCAAGCCACCGACCGGCCAAATCTATGTCGGGGTGGGAGATCCCCATGTGCATTTGAGGAGTTACCAAGGGGGACTCATGCTGTTAGGAGCACCCGAGGCCGCTATTTGCCGGTTGTTTTTGGTATGCTCAGGGGGCCCGCCCAGGAGTGGTTCGGGACACTGCAGCCCGGGTCAATCAACATCTTTGCCGAGTTATCGGCGTTATTCTTGGCCTAGTTTGCTTCCAGTGCCAATCCCAAACGGCACTTCAACTATTTGACCAGCGTGAAGCAAAACGCCAAAGAGACCCTCAATCAATTTCTGAAAAGATGGAGGGATGAAACTTTAACGGTGGGAAACATGACGGATGATACCGCCATTGCCCTATTCACGAATGCTCTCCGAACGGGGGAGTTGTACAAGGAGTTAAAGAAAAATCCGGGTACGGTGTACGCCGAGGTATTAGACAGGGCTCGCAAGCATGTTGCCCTAGAAGAGGAGATAATGATCCGGGATAAGGTCATTGCGCCTGCTGCCCCGATCAGAATGGCCGATCAGCTGGGTCCTAGCCCAGCGGCCGCTATACCTCCCAAGCAAGGGAGATTTACTCCCCTGGTCCTATCAGTAGCGACCATTTATCAGCACGAGAGGGACAATATTCCCCTCCCGACTGATTCTGGACAAATTATGAGAGCGGATGACTCTGCTTTCTGTAAATATCACAACAGGAAGGGTCATGCCACCAATGCTTGCAGGGCCCTACAAACAGCCATTGAGGATTTGATCCGAAGGGGTCATCTGGGCAAGTATGTGAATAAAGATCCAAATGATGTGGGCACGTTGAAACCGATCAGGAAACCTAATAGTTGGCGCCGGGATGCCCAATGTGATGCCCAACCTCAAAATGACGTATATGTTCCCCCCAGGGATGAACCAGAGGGCTCGGGAGGCCCTGGAAAGAAACCTCGAATGGAGGTCAGTGTTATATTCGGGGGCGGGGAGACAGGGGATTCGAACGCCGAACGGAAAAGGTTCGAGCGAAGTCTTTATGTGGGATCCATCTTCGCTCCCCCCCCCCCAGAAGAAAGGAAGGACGAACCCGATCACGTTCGGGCCAGCTGATTTACCCAACTCTCCAAGCCCGCATAGGGATGAACTGGTGGTGAGCATGTGCATTGACAATACTTTGATCCGCCGAGTGCTGATCGATACCGGGAGCAGTGTGAATGTATTGTATCTACAATCATTCGAAAAAATGGGTCTACAAAGAAGTCAACTGACCCACCTACGGACCCCACTGACAAGTTTCACCGGTAATTGCATTGAGGCTGAGGGGACCATCCAATTGATGGTTGAAATTGGGGATGAAACACACAAAGCGTCACTCCGAATGACGTTCGTGGTGGTGAATATAAAGTGTGCCCGTAATGTTATATTGGGCCGACCGGGATTGGAAGATCTGGAGGCAATAGCCTCTGTCCGCCACTCATGCATCAAATTCCCTACAGACACTGGGATTGGGGTGGCCAGAACTGATCCGACGACAGCCCGGACATGTTATCGAGAGGCCCTGAAACAGATGAACACTTGTGGGATGCGGGTTAATACAATTGAGGTGGAAACCCACCGAACGGAGTTCGAGGCACACCCAGAACCCGCCACTCTTCTTGAACAAATCGACCTGGATTGCCCCCGAACCGTAAGGTAGCTATCGGGGTAGATCTGGAGGCTGACATCCGGGAAGGCGTGATTGCCGTCCTAAAAAAGTTTCAGGTATTGTTTGCCCGGGGGCCAGAAGATATGCCCGGTATTGATCCGGAGATAATATGTCACAAACTTGTCGTTCGGCCTGATGCAAAACCAGTCCAGCAGAAGAAACGGTATCAAGCAACCGAACGGCGGGAATTCACAAAGCGGGAGGTGGCCACCTTGCTGAAAATAAAGCACATCCGTCCAGTAATCCACGTAGAATGGCTATCCAAGGTGGTTCTAGCCCCAAAACAATCTACTTGGAGAATGTGCGTGGATTACTCGGACCTGAATAAAGCTTGCCCCATGGATCCCTATCCAGTGCCGAGGATCGATCTGCTAGTAGATGAAACTGCCGGATGTGAATTGCTGAGCTTCATGGATGCTTTC